TCTATCTATTGTTCTAATTGAGACGCCAATAGACTGACAATGCGGCACACAGCGTACACGTAACTGCAGCCCGAGCACTCGCACACACCGGCCGGTAAGTGAAAACGAGTATAAATACGATGCAAATTACAAGTGCTGGCATTACCCACCACCCTCTCGTGGAGTAAGGAGTTCCACAGTAATCCACTGCCGACATGTACTACCACGTGCGTAACTGTGTACTTGTGATACCTAGTGCTCTCGCTGAAATCGTCCACCCAGTGCGCCGACAATATCGTGATCGTGCTAATTGGACTGTGCTCGAAATGTTAATTAGTCTATTAAACCGAATTAGTTCAGTAACCAGGAACATTAACTGATCGATTGAACGCACTGATCAGTGAACGAATTCAGTGAAGCATCTATAAGAGTAATTCTTCCTGGTAACACGTCGTTTGGTTTCATAGGAAGTCTTTCACGTTACATAAATCAGATAGGCTCTATTCCTCGAGTTAGCGCCCGCAGCGAAACTGGTTAACGACAGCTAGTTCGATATTTTATCGTTGATTCTTCGTTTATTAATTGACAGCCCAACATCCGCTGTTGCTGCAAAACATGTTGTTGTTATATAGGCTTATGTAATTAGAACGACACAATTTACTCAAATCTATCAATCGAAGTTAGTTACACTATAATTGTTATATCTTAAAATGCAAATTAAAATGTTATATTTTTTTCGCAGATTTTCCTGGGATTTTTGGCCGTGGTGGCCGCTTACCCTGGCATCATCCATGAGGAGGCCCCACAGCTAGAAGCCAAATACGACCACCACGCTCTCATCGGCGAAACGGGACACCATCACCAAGTTGAGCACGAACATGCCAAGTCACACCAGTCGATCAAATTCGAACACTTCCATCCAGTCCCCGTGTATGTGAAAAAAGAACACAGCCATCTGCTGAAGCACCCGCTCGAGAAGGGCAAGTCTGAGCAGAACCTGAAACTGATCCACCCTGAGACTGAGCACAAACATGGCGGTGGTCTGGTTCTTGAGGACGACAGGCACAACACCGACCACGCTGCAGCTCTCGAGCACCATGGCTTCGAACACGGAGGTTTCGAGCATCTGTCCGGTGGCTTCGAAGGTGGTCACGGAGGTTTTGAAGGTGGCCATGGAGGATTCGAAGGCTACAATGGCGGTGAGGGCCTAAAAGCTTACGCAGAGCTTGCCCAGCCTGAAGCCGGTGAAGGACACTACTTCGCGGAGGCGGGACACGCACTCGCTGACTCTGGCGAGAGCTACAAATACGAGAGCTATTAACTGCATTTACCAGAGACTACTACGGGCATATCGTGTGGAGTTTACTCCACCGTCTAAAGTAACTTTAGGTCTATCTCTTGCCTGTTGATATTAGTACACATAAGGTTAGATCGTAGCTTGAGACTTATATGTATTCAGCTTACGTTATGCAGTTGAAATGTGTCTTGTAAATCCAAAATGTACCTGATCTAGAATTAATTCTAAAATCGTATTTAGGAATTTTGTATGTAGGTCTTGAATTTGTCGTTGTAGATTCTAGGCATTGCGCGGCAATTAAATTATGAGATGGTATAAACAGTTTTGCTAGATGTTAGAAAGTACCGCGCGATGTGTTTTTGAGTTGATCGACTGCTTGTTCGTGTGATTGTTTTCTATGTAATTGTTCTCTCGCTTGATTCTCGTATTAGTGATTATTGTGACTTAGGCGATCGTTGATTGAGTCCCAGAGAAATTGTGATATTAATAAAATGTTTGTTTTTTATATAAACATTAGTGTTTGAATTTAAACCAGTAAGGTTCGCACATAACTCGTGATTAGTTGTGATACAAGCAGTATTCTTCTGCTCCACTAGACCATGTATTGATATAGACAGCAACAGCTGTTAATTGCTTGTTACTGGTGGTTCATGTAATTGTTACCGACTGATTATGCAGAATTGAACTCCGTAACTCACAAAAGGGATCACAGTGGTTACACAACAATGATTTAACAGAGTTACAGCACACGCTAGCTATTAGGAACTTGAACAACGTTTATACACAAAACTAGAAGCCATGTCTATCGCTTTATTAAGAAAACGATACATACCTACATAGGTACATATAAAAGTATACATACATATAAAAAACCTATGCGGCCTTATTACAAAACAAGGTTTTACTTTAGTCTAGGACTAAACCATTGAGCCAGTTTTCGTATTTCGAATTGAAGGTAGATGACAATAAGGTTCAAAATTCAAAACCCGACTCAATGGTTTAAACCTGGACTAAAGATAAACCTTGTTTTGTAATAAGGGGGATGTTGTTTGCAGTAAATCTGCTGCATCAATTAACGTGACAAACACAATAATACAATTCCAATAACTACTTTTAACACAGAACCTAATGACAATGTCCCAACCATAACATAAAATCTAGTTCAGAACATAACTCGAAGAAATTGTGAAAGGCAAATGTCGGTAGTAAGATCTTATTTCAATGAAATTGCCGTCCCGCAGTTTCTGAGTCACGATATCGACTATATATTATTCCATGTACACAAGGAAATAATGCTGAACTATAACTATTAGTTATCTAGGTACATACTCTATGTAATATGCGTGAGAGTATTATTGAATCACAGTTTTACAAGACTTCTATATTTTATTATGTTTCAAATATATATACTAGAGGTAGTTCGAAACGAATGGTTTACAAGTTGCATAAAAATTATAACGCTATTTTTCTGTAGACACTTTAATTTACATTATTATTCATTTGTTATTTTAAAAAGTATTCCTTTTTTTAATTAGGACGATAAAATATATTCTGATAACGTGTAGGTTCATCGTATATTTTTAAAGAAGCATTATATTCTGTTATATTTTTTTTAAATCAAACAGACTTAAGTACTTATATAGAAACATCATAAGCATACTACTTGTTAGTTCTACTTTACTCCTTTATGGCAAATTCTTATGTCAAATAAATAATCAGCTAAACTAAGTTTTAGTAACTATACTCCTTGATATGATACTATATAGGTGAATTTTTTAAACAGCGTCTTTGTAATGTTTTAACTTAACAATGCCTTTACCGATTCGGCTAATTTTGGTCTTGAATTATTGGCGGACGTCCAAAGAATTTTTGTACGCAAAGAAAATTTAAAAACAAATCTTGAAAATGTGTAAAATCGACATCCACGCCGGCGGAGCCGCAGGCGACATTAGTATCTTCATAAAAATTACATACATACTTAATTTTTCTTACACCTTGTTCTAACATCTCCCCTTCCATACTTAATATTACATTCCAATTACATACGCTCTACTTGTGAGTGTCAACAATAAAATTGTGGTGATGTAATGCCACTAATGTTGTTCACACCACATGACCACACTCTGGCCTGCTCTACTCTCGTTTAATACGTACATAAAGATTTTATTGGTGTGCTTGTAATTTCCTGTCGATAGTGTGTTTCGTGATATTGTTTTTTATTTTTGTAAAAAACTGCAATGTTTTATCGAATTTTATCATTCAGTTGTAGTCTTACCAAACTTTACATGATTATGATGACATGATTTGCAATTATTCAGGTAATTATGTTAACTATTATGAGCTTAAAGATACTAATAGACGAAAAAGAACCTGTTGATACTTACAAATATTAGTCAACAAAATCCTTAAAGTCTAGTGTAAAAGAAAATAAATATAAAATTATGTTCGAAGAAGGCATTCAATAAATATAAATGAATAACTTCCACAAAACGGATTAGATATCTCTATAAAAACTTCATTCTTTACGAACGATGAATAAATTAGTCGTAGACCGAACGATAATTCACTTATGTGGGTCGTTCCAACTCGAACTTATGTAACATCAGCGAATACAAATCTTGTGATTTTAAAACGCGACATCTCAGCTTCCTCATTCTACGATTTCGTATTCAAGCTGTAGGTGGCACCACTTTCTACGCAGTGATATACACAAACATAATTCCAAATGTAGTATTTTGCAATTCAACAACGAAAGATCGCGATCGATTGTAATGCGAAAAAAATGACATCATATTTCCTTGTCATAAAAGTGGTTTTCGCTTAAATGTTCTTATGTATTAATTTACGGTTGATGATAATACTTTTTTGTGAACGAGTATTAGAATTAATAAAATTATGGAAGCAATATAAAAAGTGTAAGTTAAATTAAAGAGTATTTCTAAGTAAATAATCTCTAAGTCTGTGACTTTTTTGTGAGGGAAAAATCACCAATTGACTTCACACTTCACACTTCACACTCTCTCCTGAGGCCTGACCCCGGCTGAATTTAGCTGTGACTAGGCCTTACCGACCGAGACCGCTCAGTGTACACATTATATTTTAAATGGGTCCGGTAATTTTTTGGTGTAGGTATTTTGCAAATTAAAATAAATATATTAAATAAGAGAATAATAATTTTGTACATCAAAATAAAAGTCTCGAGGTTCTAATATGTGTATTTCTTTTTCGTGTTAAAAATTGGTTACGTAAACATTTTTAAAACAAAGAAGTATTTAAATTAATTCATAGAAAAAAATAACGTGTTTATTTTCACTGAATATTTTATAATGACATAAGTATACCTACTTAATATTTTACAATAATAATAAACAAATTATATCACGTCGTATAGGCAAAGATTTAAATATCAATAAACGTTTATGCATTAGTAGAAACACGTATTTTCCTAGGCGCCTTTTATATTTGTCGTGCAATTTACAACAAAGTAAATTAATGAATGCATTCCTCAGGCGTAGGTGTCACCAATACCAGTAATAAATTCCCCACTGGATTCAATAAATCACAATTTATTTAAATAATATAATAAATACAAATAAAATATTTCATATCTAAAATATACTATCACTCATTCAATGGCATCAATATTGCACTGGGTTATCTAAATACTATTTTATGTAAAATAAATTAGGTTTCAAAGACAATATTGTTCTCAAAACTACTTAGTCTAATGTTCCCAAATGTGTCGAATGACGTAAGAGACAGGCTCCTGTCCATTAACAGGAATCCTGGTGGGAATCAGATACTTCTCGGTTCTAGGAACTACTTTGTAAGTTGTATGCGGTCTATCCAATTTAACATAGTGGTTCTTACCCCCTTGATAAGAAGGTCCACTTTTGTTGTCCACAGGTTTCGGAACTTTAATGAACGGTTTCATGAATTCCAGTGGCACTGGATATGGAGCAGGTATTTTAACTTCTTGAGGCTTAGGGATACGTACTACCATCGGAAACTCCGTACTCCTTACCAATTCCAAAGGCTGTCGTCCCGTATTTCCTGAATTAGAAACCCTAGAAGCTTCAAGCTTTGCTAAAACATTCTGCTGTCCCAAGTTTCTGTTCAAATTATCCACTGCTACAGTATAAGCTTTATGGTCGTAATTTTGAGAATCTCTCATTTCTTGCAATTTGCTTCGAATTCTAAACTCACCATTCAATAGTTCTTGCTTCTGGTGATTTATTGTTTCGGTTATAGACTGGTGTTGATAAAGTGGTGCTAAGAGCACTGCTAGTTTATCCTGGTGAGCGACTAGAGTTTGGGCAGTCGGCAGCGGTTTGGTGGGAGTTTTCGGTTTCTCCTGTTGTACCTCCGGCGGCGGTGGCAGGCCTTCAATAGAACTAAGACTTTCCTTGAACTCAATTGCATATTGAGATTCTAAATATGATTGAGGCATAGGTGTAGGCTTAGGAGTAATGTCCACATACGTTTGTGGAGGGCTTGTGGTTTGCTTTTCTAGTTTGATGTGAATTTTCACTGGCCTATAAAGGTTTTGCCTACTATAATTATTAGCTTGACTTGTATGTCCTGGCGAATATAAAATTTGCTGTTGTTCAACATTTGCTCCAGGATTTGCAATCGGTGTATTGTGTCCAGTTTCTGGTAGATAGGTTTTAATCTGAGTTTCAGTATTAACTCCTCTATTTACTATTTCAGCGGGATCATTTATCTCAGGGTTTATTTGTAACTGAGTACTTGCAACCGTATTAGCGGTTGAGAGAGCCGTGTCAGTTGTTTGCATGTTAGTTTCAGCTAGAATCCCAAACTGATATCCAGGAAGTGGTAAAGCTTGAAAAGGTACCATTTGAAGATTCTCACTTTCATAATTTGGCAGAAACCGAACATACTGCTCTGCGTTATTTTGGTTATTAGATTTTGGTCTATTTGTCTTTTTAGGGGTATATGGAGTTGAATATTCTTTGTCTTTATATTGCTGTCTTGCTTTAGTATACTTATACTTTGGTGTTGTAGTTGTTGGCATTTCCGAAGTAGTTTCTGTAGTTGTGGTAAGCATAGCTCGATGAGCCAAATCATCATTGATTTCTTGAATGTTTAAAAGCTTGTAATAATCTTCTAATATATCTGGGTTCTGTTTAATGTCATCGCTCGAATTCATCCAAACCTGATGAGGCATTTGGTTTTCATATTCAATACTTTGTCGAAAACGTTCTTGTAGTTCAGCAAACTCAGATTCGTATTCTGGAAATGGTTGCACGACAGCGCCAGCTGCTTGTAGAATCTGCACTTGGTCGGGTGTTAGAAATAATACAATTTCTTTCATTCCCCTTAATGCTGGGTGTTGCGTTGAAGTCGGTTCTGGCGTTGGTGATGAGGACTGTGGTGTTTCATAGAACGATTGTGCAATGTTTTCGTTAAGTCCCGCTCTCACCGATGCCAACGATGAAATGATCAACAAGACCGTAATTCGATAAATACATTAAAGGTCCCAATCCATCAAGTTTCTAAATGTTTGTTTTACTAACCTGTGCCCCCATGGCTACAGATGTATGGCGACCGGCTTGTGCCCCGTACAACCGCAGTTAGTCGTTTGGTCTGAAATGAAGACGAACAACATTTTATATAACTATATTACACATACGAATATTCAATAGAATCATATCTGTGTCGGTTGGATACTTCCGTATTGATTACGTTTATAAAACCAAACTTCGTTTCATACAGATACTCAATATTGTCGCAATCTTGTTAATATTGGGTGAAAGTCGTAGTCATTAAAGAAGTATTAATGAGCATCAAGCAACGGCATTGATTCCTTTATTTGGAATGCAATAACAATAACGCAACATGTTATTGTTAACGAAAATTGGGCTTTATTGTAAGTTAAGATGAAACAAAATGCCTTAACTTACCAGCGTGTTTACAAAGTGGTCGTAACTTAGTAAATATATATAATAATCTATGTACATACCTATTTATATCTGCGTATTACATAACACTTTTGTTTAAAACTATTGTTTGTTGTGCTTACATTTGTTATTTGCAAAAACTACCCCTCTATTAACTGCATAATATTTAAGACCATGATGTGCAATTTTAATTGTTTCTTTGTCCAATGTACCACAGGCTGTATCTCGCTGCAGCTTACCTAACCTAATGAACCATAATAATTTTGGTTTCCTCTCTTTTATATAAACTTTTGCTGCGACCCCCCGAGAGGCGACCAATCGTATCTTGCAGTGAATTTTTAATTAGAAGACTATCAAATATATTCGTGATTTATTCAAATCTATTATGTAATACTTCCGATTTTAGATTCAATTTCTATCTTTCCGATTACGTTTGCACTAAAAGCATTCATTTATTTTATTATATTTTTATTTAAATTATGTATGATTAAATCTTTCGGACCGACCTGTCGATAAAAAACCTAAATATGAACTGTCGGAGAATACTGCATGTTTGTTATAAATGTTAGATTGACACTGATGACTTGACGAATAATATTTTTATTGAAGGTTACTTAAGCATGTTTGATTGCATCATTTTTTCGATGGGTAGAAGGGGACTGATAGCGATTGTTTCTAGTAATTAACAAAGTGTGGTAAAGTACACAAATTAATTTTATTTAGAAAAGGAGGAGAGTTCCAATGAATATTCTAGAGTCTACACACTACACTCCCTTAAAACTCACTCTTGTCGCGACCCAAAATAAGTTGTGAGGGAGTGACAGATTCTTAAGTGTCGTTTACAGATACATACGTTATCGGGCGTCACACAGCTCGTCAGGTGGTCGTACATTGCTCTTATATTTGTGTTTAAGCGAGATGCGTCCAGCTGCTGCAATATGCAGAAAAGCCGAGCCATACAAACCGAACGCGTAGGTAACGCTACCGTAAACGCGGCCTTACTGACTAAGAACCTTAAAACCACTTCACTGAACTCCTGTGTTAGCTCAGGTAATAACATATGGCGGTTTAATCTTGAACCGTTGGTTTAATATTCAAAGGTTGAATAACCCATAGATTCCGTCTATCGGCTTTAATTAAAAGTACATACCTACATACTAGCTAATAAACAAAAGTATCATTTTATTGTAACAGTGCGACCCGCTTAAGGAGTGAGTGGCTAGAAAGATGCCACGGCGTCTTCTCCTAATTCCTAAACAGGTGCTTACTAGGTATCCTGTTTCACAGCCAATGTTGACGCCCGGATAGGAGTTCGCACTACTTTAGCTGAAAACCACCATGTCCGTAGGGAAGCAATTACAAAGAAGGAGGCGGAGCGCGTGAGGAAACTATCCTCCTTTCGCCCCATTAGCCGCAGTAAGAGACACTCCAGGCATCGTAAGCAACCGTAACCAATAGTTTGCCGCCTTACCAGAACCGGTACCGACCGAACAGCGCTTAGCGTTCCGCGCGCGCCTTAAAGAGCCAACAGACCACCACAAATGAGACCCAATCAAGGCTAGTTTAGCCGAGGTTGCAGGTCAAGTGCAGTAACGAACGAGGTGGTTTTTAGTCCGTAAGAACCTGATACTTCCTCTTGCACTGCCCAGGGTGAGAGAAGACATTCAATGATATTTAACAAACAAAAAACTTCAGGATCGTTATGAGTCCTATGTGATAGACCATGACAAATCTTAAAATACTAAAAACAATACTTACAAAACACAATACAATGTTGAATATATTCTTAGCTATTTATTGCTTTTTACAAATTTTAAACTAGAAATCACATTTTTTATTTTCGATTTTATTTTTTTACACAACTAGCATATTTATTAAAATTCATCCATTCAAAATGTTCTTTTAACATCTGAGTATTCCTGTTATTTATTATAATAATATTACCTACTACATTTACACACTACAATTATTTTATTTAATTAAAAATTACATACCTATTGCTGTAGTACGAATTAACTACAGGGTGTAATAATGCACCGTGTTATTGAATCAAGCGCCTGATCTTAAATAAACGGTAATGAGTTGTTTCGAAGCAATTTCGTTGAGAGTGAAGTTTTTAAAAAAAAAACAATAAATTGTCTTATTAAATGAATCAAAAATATGTTAAAGGAAATTTGTATACTATCAACATCAGCATACTTACCTTATTTGGTGCGCAAAGCATAAATATTTACTCACACAAATTGGTTTCTATTTTTTTTTTGTGTTTGCAAATGTTTGTCGTGCGCAGACGCAACTAGTTTTTTTTTAGGCGCTGGATTGAATGAGTGGGCCGACGAGTAAAGTATTAAGATATTACTAGCTTTTGCCCGTGACTCCGTTCGCGTGGAATAGTGGCTTCAAACTGATTTTTGGTATAATCCTTTCTCGAGTTCGAAACTATGTCCGTACCAAATTTCACAGAAATCGGTTTAGTACTTTAGGCGTGAAGAAAAGACAGACAGACAGAATTACTTTCGCTTTTATAATATTTGTTTGGACTCAAGTTTTTAACAAAAAAAAAAATTTAAAATAACATAACAGTCTGTACTCGTTCTCTTCAGCATATCTTTGTTTAATAGATTATGTTTGTTAATAGATCTGAGGAACTTATGACTAAAAAAGATATAAGCAAAATGTTTGAAATATCACAACAATCGTTGAGTTTTTGTTTTTTGAGTTGGGGACATCATCAAATGTTTTCCCTCGCTCTCCGTGTGGCGAAAGGGAGTATCAACAAGCGTAGCTTTTCTTTTTTTTATTGCCCTGAAATCCCGGCTGAACCAACCTAGATGGAACTGCAATTACTGAACCGCGGCCCTAGCCTAGGGCGGTAGAAGGAACGGGGTGGGTTTTCGTGTGAGACACTAAGGGCCGGAGTAGAACACTGGCGATATTTTCATCTCTAAAAAAAATTATGGTATGTATAATTATAGTGTCATAAAGCATCATCTTCATCGTCAGTTCTTAGCAATCACAGACTGGACTAATAGTCAGAAATAGGGTAGTCTCATAACTCCAAGCTCGGTAGACAATTTGAAGATCGCAGTTTAAAACGGTTCAGGTTAATCAGAGATCGCTGCTGCCCGATCTCGATCAATTAATTTATTCGTTCTTCATATATAACTTCATATCAGAAAGCTTTGATGCCTTTGCAAGATATATCCGAAACAATGTACCATTATATCACAACATAATAAGTATTTACCTTCCGTAAGCCAAATTACCAACAAAATTTTTTACTGTAATAATTAAATTTTGCGACTTATGTTAGAATACTGAAGTAGAATACCTAATTTCAAATAATTATCATAAATGATTGTACACCTTATACTAGGTATGTTACATTGCTACTAATATTATAAAATAACATCTAATTGTAAACATGTATCAAACAAAAAAATAATTTAAATTTGAAAAAAAAAAAAAACAAACTGTTACATAAATTACCTTCAGGTTTTTAAATGACTCATACTTCGACTGTGAAGCAGTTATTTTTGCCACACCCCTTTTTTAAACGTAACACAGATACCGTTCTAAGTCCGTGTTAATTCGTGACGTCGTTCATGATCCGGTTTTATTTTCTAATACAATTTACAAATGAGTTGTTATTGACGCCCAATTTCATCACTGATGTTAAAAGTTAATTATGAACTCATTAAGTCTTTAATTTCTGGGTTTATGTTGTCAACATGGTCTCATAATTGATGCCTTTGTTTGTTATACTATATATGGTGTTATAATTTCACTTTTTCTTCCTTTTTGGAAATGCCTATGAAAAAATTGTTACATTGCATTGCAACGTGTCGCGTGGAAACGCATGTAGGTAACAGCACTTGATCTATAAATTCTTGTTTCAGCTCTGGGTGTGGTGTGTATGTGAAATTGTATGTGGACGACACAGAAGAAAATCCTAGTGAGGAAAAAAATTAAAAATATCGTCGTTTCTTTATATTTATCTTCTAATAAAAACGCAGTCCATCAATAACACCCAAGCCAAGTATATCTTTACTATACAAATATTTCAGTTCTTCAGTAAGTTAGTATTATAGGATCAGAATATCGGAAATAAGCGTCAGTGTGTAGGCTGCGATTACATCGGCACTCGATATTTCCAAATCCGAGGTCGTATTAGCATAATAAAATTGATTGTTGAATATTATCTAATTTAATTTCACTCTCACTTTTGTTTACCAGTATATGTTATAGAATTACGTAATTTTGTGGTAAGTTTGTTAGAGTTTATTTGAGTAAACTTTTAAAAATTTCAAATAGATTTTCTTATACTTCTGGTCCTAATTGTGACGTGTCATTTTTATTCTTTTTATTCTTGATGATTCTATATATCGAATCTATTTGATATGTTGGTTTAGTAGAAACGATATTAATGAGAAATCATTACAGTATTATCGGAATATGCCTAAGGATTGTACCTGCAATGTACGATCTGTTCGAATACTATAAAAAAACTTAAGGTTTTGTCACTAAATTGTTACGAGTTAAGTTAATCGAAATCAGTCCAGTTCACAGCTATCATTTTCAAAATCGCATCATTTTTTAAGACTAAAGTAAGGATATTTTAAACTAAGAATCCTAAATTCAACTCAGGATAAATAAGAAACAAGTAGTCGATTGTAAAACGATACGTTTTATATTCATCTATTTACATGTACAAACTAATGACTATCAAAGTATTTACAATTCTATTGACTATTTGGTATGATCACGACTGTTGCTGGCTGGCACCAGCTGGATGAAGAGCAAGGCACCGCCTTACCAGCAGCAGCTCTTCTTCTTGTAGTGGGTGACGTGCTTGATGATGTGGAGGGGGTAGGGCTTCCACACTGGGACGGGAACCTCCACGTGCTTTTCAATGGGCACGTGGATCTTCTTGATTACTTCGTAGGGCCTGTCAATAGGGATGTGCACCTTCTTGATGACCTCAACTGGGACTTCTTTGACGACCTCAACGGGCACTGGCCTCTCAACGCTCACGTGCTCAGTCTTGTATACGGGGTAAGGGACGTGCTTCACGACGTCAACATGGACTGGGTAGGGCTGTGGCACGGGGACCTTGACTTCTTGACGGACGGGCACTGGTACAGGTTGTGGCACAGCGAGCTGGACGTGGCGGGTCACCTCGATAGGGATACGACGAATGACATTCTGCACAACAGATTGCAGCTCGTATCTGGAAGCAGAAGCCACTGGGCGGCCGACGGAGACTGTTGTTCCAATGACTCTCGGGGCTCCAAGAGTTGCAGGGCCAAGACCACTACCACTGTTGCCACCAGGTCCAGGGAGATTTGAGTCGAGAAGAAGGCTACCCTCAGAGTATCCGTTGCCAGATGGAGCGGGAGCTGAGAGGTCGGATGAAAGGGAACCGTAGCCAGGGCCAGAGAGTCCAGATCCATGGCCGGGGGGTCCATAAACTGGACTGGGGCCATTGCCAGAGCCGTGTCCGTGACCACCGGAAGAGCCACCGCCCAATGCACCAGATGCAGCAATAGAGCCTATTCCAGGAAGAGATGCTCCTGAGAGGACTGGACCGTGGTCATCTCCTGCCGAGTCTTCAACGAACACGTGGTGAGGGCCACTGCCTCCATGTGGTGCTCCATATGTCGATGAGGGTGCAAATGAAGCTGAAGGTGCACTTAGCGCAGATGACAGGAATGAGTCAGGACTTTGGTGCTGGCCATTTAAATATCCGGCATTAGTGCTGTACACTAGCGCTGACAGGAAGAGAATTTTGACCTGTAACAAACAGAAGTGATTTTCAGTTTGATATATGAAAAATGGCGGGTGTTGATATCTTTGTATCTTTTTGTGTTTAAGTTTTATTGAATGAACTTACAACAAATGCCATGGCTTTTAGCTAATCGCTTTGAAGCCAGGAAAAAAACGAGCTAGTTGTTGTCCCTTCCGAGTGTCGGTTGGTTGTGGTGTGACATCGGACGGCCCCACATATTTATACAAGTCGCTCTTTCCAACAACGCCTATGAATACATTAGAGCCAAAACTCGAACGGACATCGCTATACTACGTCACTGACGCTAAAATATATATATTATGTTAATTTTTGTACTGATCTCGTTAACATCGTTTTCTATGATTATGCAAGGGAAACTTGGTACTGAAGGTCTAAAACATCATCCATGGTACCGTTGCTTCATATAATTTAATTATGAAAATCGTTTTTCAAGGTTCAATGCTCATATTTATTGCAGTTGTCAACGATCAGAGTTGTATTTGTTTTGATTTTCATAATTTTCTTTACCACTTAATTAGTCGTAAATTATTCATATAATTACTTTTTAATGATTATTATATTGAAGTTTCACATTTAAGTATGGTCACGTGTAAAATTGACTCCAGTTTAATACTCATCGAGGTCAATGAAGATGTTAGAAAAAATCTTCTAAGATAGGAAAATCTTGAAAGATTTTTTCTAACGATTTTGTAAGTTTAGAACGTGAGCATTTGAGGAGAGTTAAAAATTTGGTTTAGGATTTTATGTAGTAGTTAAACATCGTTTTAATTAACATGTATTAATGGACCCGATGGTAAGCGCCCCATGGACACTCGCAACATAGGTGTAAACCTATGTTGCCTTGGGTATGCCTCTGTAGCTTATCAAATAGTAATATTGACGGGGAAACTTAGTCTTTCAGCTTCATTGTTACTATATTCAGGAACGATAAGACTTTTCTGTTCAATGCAACTAGTGCTACCGTTACTAATTTGGATCGAACTGTTGAGGAACACACGAGTAGTAGATATTGGAGCATTGAGTTAATACATTAGCCTACAAGATAATCAGCTGAGCTTGCGGGCAAGCGCAACAAGGTTCCACGGTCTGGGCCTGGAACAGGAGATGAAACGGGATAGTTGTTAGTCAGTAAGAGTCTGACGCTCCCCTCGCCTCAGCCTAGACGAGAGAAGTAAGTAAATTCATAGATTTTACTCCCAAAAAAAAACGTTCTAGTCAAAAATGGGAGTATTTTTTTTAGGTTTCGTCATAATGTATGTTATTATCGGCACCTTTTTTTTATCAGAAGAGCAGCATAGTTTCATTCCTAGCTTTTCTTAACTTCATTGTCACACGAACATAGATTGAGCACTAAACACTACGCTCGCTCAAGGCAAAAAGGCGCTATCAAAGTTATATATGTAATTTAAAATTTCGTATTATGTATAGGCCCAAATAAAACGGAGGAAAGTAGACCAAATCTCAGAGAAGTTACTTCACAGAACAAGTATGTAATGTAGTGCTTTTTTATAACTAGAAAGCTCAAATTACTACGCCTAAACCAGTCTAATGTGTATGTTGTACCGTAATAAAGTTGTTGACGATGTGATAAAGATATTGTAGTGTTATATTAGCTTTGTTGCTCCGGTTTTTTTTATATAAATTGCTTTTTTTACAACAATAACGTACCCATCTTATTACTCATCTATACTGATGTGAATTGTATGTAAACTGTAAGTTGCAATGAAGGGGGTGTAAATAGGTTTTTTGGGATTCAGTGTTTGAAATATTAGTTATTCGTTATTTTTATTTTTGAAGTCAGTATTATTATAACTGTTATGAATCAGATTTGATCTAATTTCCTTATGATTATGTTTTCCTAACTAAATGTAAAGGAATAATATTGTAATTTTAAATAAGAATTTCCTTGTTAAAGCTTTTGTTAAAGCGTTTTATACTTAAGTAAAAATTTAAATAAAGAAGGTATTTTGACACTTTCTTCGGTACGCTACAGCGAAACAGTAGGATATCTATCAAAAGTAAGATAGCGGGTCGATTTTTAATTTATAGAAAACGAAATTGTTCAGGTTGGGCCGTTGCTCAGATATTACCATAAGAACGCGAAACAGATGCCAATATTTCCTCATATCGCATTAAAATGCGAAACTTCATCGTTATTTATTTGCGAATTTAGATAAGTTAAGATTATTAGCTTAACAGCTGACTTGGTCACGATTTCTTTATCTTTAAAATAAAAGAATAAAAACAAATTACTTTTCCGCCCTGGGTGAGGTGAGGTCACACTCTTACTGACTAAAAACCATCCATTCCTTCTCTTGCCAGTCGAGGCCGCGGTGTAATACTATATTGCGCTTGACCGCACGCGATCTTTAGGCAATTATGGTTAAAATTAAAAATTATAAAGAATAGTAAGAATATCTAAGTTAGCAACAACAGCTAACTTACTTTCAGGCTTTTATGATGATAAATTAATATAAGTTTTTATTGATGTCCTTTCCAGTCCTACGATACTACTACTCGAAACCCGGTTTGAGGCACCGCTACCTCGGCCCAGAGCAGGAGAAGGAACGGCGGGTGTTTTTAGTCAGTAAGAGCCTGACACTCTCTCTCGCCTTACCCTGGACGGGAGAAGTCATGAGATGATTTTCCCCTGACAAAGAAAAGCCTCGAAACCCGGTTGTCTCATCAAAAACAAAATACAATCAATTCATCTGTATACTAAATTATTTAGATTAACGTCACAACTTTATACCCTCGGTTAGGCTAAGCAGCAGATCGACATGGTCGCACACGCATTCACGAGTTATCTAATTAATTTGTACGATGATATTTTGTGTTGAAAGAGTTTCAAACATGAAAGATTGGGATTAGGAAGAGATGAAAGAATCTTAGCTAATTTCTGTTATTTAGGTACTATTATTACCAGCCCATCTGACTGGCGATAATAGTATATAGTACTATCGTAATAATTTACCACTGCCCCGGCTCCGTCACGAAGCAGATGAACAACTGGGTGATTTTTAGTCATTAAGAGTCTAAAACTTCCTCTCTTAGACTTGGACAAGTTGGAGAAGGAGAAGAATCCCTTCAACCAGGGTTGGTTAAAGCATTTGATGATTTGCCCCACTTAAAAAAAAAGTACTTAACTGATATAAGTCGCTAATAGAAGGTGAGCAAATCAACTAATTCATTATATTCTCCTTATTTGTACTTTTGTAATACCACTTTCATTTGTATCTACCAACATTCGTCATGCGTTACAAGAAAAATAGGCATAGCATTATGATTTACATTTTAAAACTTAACCTTTTATCAATAAATCACTCACATTGAAATACGACGGCCTGATTTTTAAATCTCTTTTGCTAAATAATTACATCACCAGTCCTATGATGTCAGATATGAATGTTTTATTATTATAATTAAATACAATATTAAGTTTCCAATTTCACCTTTTCATGGGAATTCGTATGTTAATAGATTGGTTATTAGCTCGATCGTTCCACTTGCTTTTCGTTTCCGCTTTGTCGTTTATTTTTTACATAATTGTCAATAATATTAATATCATTGACTTACTTTAAAGTTTGTATTAGCTGAATATGCTTTTTAATTTTTATATTAACATGTAATGTATAAATTATGAAGGAATTTGTAAGAGTCCGTTTTTGTTACCATTGTATCTTAATATTAGTTTCTTGATCAAAGGGTAAATATCTTTTATTATAAATGAACAAAATATTTATTGGTTTTTTTAACAAAAACAAGGTACTTAAAATTAAAGAAAAAAATATTTTTAATAAAAAAAGTAAAATATAAATTATAACACTATTTATTTCATTATTTATATAATAAATACCTATTATTAATGGTTCAATTAATAATAATTCTCTCTGTCTATCTATAACCAGGCTGTCTCTCATACTGGTTGGTTGTAATTTAGACTGAAAATTATCAATTTTTTCCATGCCTACTATAACAACAATGAAATAAATATTTAAGATATGCTCCCATATAACAATCATGTGTTTGTTATGGACACATCATTCCTGTAACAGTTCGACTAAACGCATTACCAAATGTATAACTGCCTTTATTAAGTAAATATAGTAATAATATTTAATGAGTTTATTCTCAGCTCCAGAATAATTGTTAATCGAAAAACCTTAATAAATACAAGTTTAAGTTTAGTTTACAAACAAACGAATATACTTCTTAGCTTTATTATTTTTTAATTCATTTTAAACGCAATTCTTGATTAAGAGAACTGATACTATCGTCACTGTGACTAGAAGGGAAAACATAGAAAATAGTCTATTAATAAACTATGCGTCATTTGATTTAGAGTACACCAATAACAGTTTCTCCATGTTACGTAAATTAAATGACAATAAATCATTCTTAAGGTCGCACAGCCTTCCAATTCCAGTGAAAAACCCGCCCACATTCAACCTCATTTTTAACTAAAATGTCCGACGTTTATTTATAGATTCTATCTCGGTTTCAAGTTGCATAGATTTTTTATAATCAATCTTCTTGCTATCATTACTACGCTATTTAATTATTGTTGTACTTTGAATGATAATAAAGCAGTTGTGCGTAACAGCAAGTACTTTCTTATATAATTTTGTTGAGCTTGATATATTTTGTCTATTATGACATGAGATATGTCTTATTATCTATGTATGGAAATGAAATTAATTACTTTGAATTATAGATAAATGCTCCAAGCTAGCGCATTAAATCTTTTATAAAGTATAGCAATTAAAAATGGAGGATGGCTACGCGATACCACGCAGCGTAACACGACGCCGACACTTCGTGTGCATTAGTTTTTAAGTTATCTATGTAACATATGTATTAGTTTATGATTTAATGTTATAATATATTTATGTATTGTATTCTCTATGGGCCTCAGATGCCTGATTTAAATAAATAAATAAAAAAAAAAATTCCCTGTTTATCTGGAAGCATTCTCCTCAACACTAAGGTTTACTGCCCAGAGACGCATATAGCAACTATGCTGAATGAATCCTAATCGTGGGTGTGTTTACAAACTTGCAAATTCACATATAAAACCACCCAGGCCCGAAACAACAATTTTTTAATCACATAAAGTGTTTTCTAAAGTAAATAAATAGGTAAATACTTTTAGCTTTCCGTTAAGTTAATTTAATTTGAAACAAGCGTGAAAGTGTGTATGCATTTGGTTCGAATGTGGAAATCCTTCTCTCATAATCTTCAGCAGCTGCAACTGGTCAGCTCTGAATCCACGTCACCGTACAATAGTCTACCATTTGCATCCATAACTATTCGTGATTCTGATTATCTAGTTAGTAGGAGTCGATCATTAGAATATATATTACGTATGGAAAGTGCTCACTTTAGTAAAATCTATGTTTAGATTATAACAGATTCGTCAACATATTCTAAGATATAATAATATAATGTCAATTGATTAAAAAAAGGTATAGCCATAACCTTTTTTCAGACAAAGAAAATGTGTTGAAAATATTATTTAGGTACCTATATATACCAAAAGTGGAATATTACGAAACTGTTCACATTATTGTGTGTGGTTTTCAGTGCTTGAAGTAGGTACTTTAAATATCGAAGTTTAAAGTGTTTGAGACGAAGAATTGTTGGAAGTGTTAAGCAAAGAATATACTTTTTTAATATAAATATTTAAAAGTTTTTTCATTACCGGCTTCACGATTGCATAAGGGTCTTTTTCATTAAATGGAAATTGTAAGTGTGTATTTAAAATATTTTGCCAAACAGTACTCAAGGACTTCAGTACTCTCAGATTTAGATAGGTAACATCGTATTTAACAATGGGAAAATAAAATAGATATATCTTTGGATATTTTGTTTTATTAAAGTTATAAAGCATAACGTTACTATTTACAGCAAACATTATAAAGAACATACAGTTAGTATATTCACTTAAATTAATGACTTAGTTATCACCCTAGATTGCAGCCTCACGATGAGCTATGAAGCGATCTATATTTACAAAAGACCGGACTAGGTATGTGACGATTACACTATGTACAATGTATTTCTTTGGCTATCCAGAATTACCAGCTGGACCAACCGTGGCTGTGTCCGTGGCTGCTGTGTCCATGGCCGTGGCTGTGAGCCTTGTGGTGGACAGTCTTCACGACTGGTACGGCGTACTTCTTCACGACAGGCACGGGCACCTTGACCAGCTTCACGACTGGAACTTCAACAATCTTCTCAACGGGGACAGGGTTGTCTACGTGTACTTTTACAATCTTCTCGTATGGTACCTTAACGATCTTCTCGACGGGGTAAGGCACTGGTTTGTCAACCTTCACTTGCTGGATCTGCACGACTGGCACTGGTACGTTCTTAACGACTGGGACTTGAACGGGGTAGGGCTGAGGTACTGGAACCTCGACTCTCTGGGGCACGGGGTAGGGCACGGGCTGGGGTACTCTGTGGGTCACCTCCCTGAATACTTGGTAGGGCTCTTCACGGACGCGGTACTGAGTAGGAGCACCATTGCCATTAGCAAGACCATGGATCTCTTCAATGACAGGGGCCTTAGCGCCTGGGGGTGGAGCTTCACCACCGGGTACAGTCAAACCAGATCCTCCAAATCCAGATCCACCAAGAGCAGGTCCTCCGAATCCAGCACCACCGAGGGCAGGTCCACCGAGACCAGCGCCGCTGATCCCAGAGCCAGCATCGAAACTGGGTCCACTGATTCCAGGTCCACTACTTATGCTAGGTGATCCAACTAAAGATCCACTGCCGAAGCTAGAACCACCCAACCCAGAACCACTGCTGAATCCGGAACCACTGCCGAATCCGGAACCACCGCTGAGTCCGTGACCAACTAATCCTGAACCAACGCTCAATCCATGGCTACCACTGTATCCGTGACCACCTCCGATAGAGGAACCGCTGTATCCATGAGATCCAGACAATGAAGTGTCAAGGACGCTGCCACCATGGGAGTAACTACCGTGGCTTAGTCCTGATCCAGAATAAGTGGCTGAGGGTAGCGATCCAGCGGGGAAGCTGCTGGGAGAGAAGCTGGATGATGAATGATGAGAGGAGTATCCACCCGATGAATGTTCATCGTGGTGATGATGACCGTGGAGGATGCCGGCGTAGGTACTGCTCAATAGGATGGCTAAACATGTCAGTTTCATCTGAAAAGATGGAAGCAGATTAGTGTTTCATTCGTATGTATTTAGGAAATTTGGTTGTCATTTTCGTTTTTTTTTTTTTTTAATATACTTACAAAAGCAGCCATTGTGATTAGCTAATCGCTGGCTACTCGGTAAACTTGTGTTGACTGTAACAAGCGACGCTTGTTTGTGATGATATCGTATACTTCCATGATATTTATATCGATGTCGCGTGTAGGTCAAAACGCGTTGAGAACGAGAGTAAACGAACTGGTTTCTGAATACTCTTTCCTTTTCTAACGGAAACATTCGGCGTACGCCGTTGAATACATTATGCTCATCGGTTACTCAATGACCGCTGATGAAGGAGTCTGTATTTTATTCATATGGATATTATGGCGATTTCTAACTGTAATGACATTGAAAAGGTTTTAAAGTTAATATCGAAATACTTAATTTTAATATTCTATTTCCATACCATGGTGATTTAATGTTGCATTACAAAATTAGCCATTATATTAAAACGGCAGCTAATTAAAAGTACGACTACATAGCTACATAATATGTTTGACAAATACATTATGTAGCATTTAATTGTTCTGTTGTTTTTTATGCAAATTTCAATAAAAATTAAACAATATAAGTAACTCAAATTATTTGATTCGTGTTAGTACGTAAAATAATTTTAAAACTCTCGACGCTTTTATTGTCAAAGAGATTATTTTAATTACATTATATTATTTCACTATTACGATCATACAATATTAATTCATCATCAGCCTATAAGTGCCCACTGTTGAAAAAAGGTATCTTCTCACACAGAGAAGGTTTCAACATCAATTACAACGCTTGCTCAAGGCGGACTAATGATTACAAAACGACTATAATATATTACAAGCTCAAGTTTTCTCACGATTTTCCCTGACTGTTTAGTCAACTCTGAAAAAGTCAACTGTCTCAAACTCATATTGGTACTTTAGGTGGTACTGTTCGTTTTTTAACTCGTCTCCTCATAATATTCCAATATTATTTGTATAGTACTTACATATACCTGATGGTTAAATTCCCGCAAAATAAAAGACATTTCCAATTTCTAGCTTTTTGACGGTGGTTAGGGATTTCGAGGTTCGTCTGGAATACAAAAGAGACTGACCTCTGAGTTTTCTTTCGGAAGCAATTATGTTTATAGTACATATACATATTGAGTAATACTGATTTTGTCTGACCTAGATGATTAGACGTTCTAGGGTTGCGGATTTACCGAGACCACGGCCCGGAGCAGGAAAAGAAACGGGTTGGTTTTGAGTTAGAGTTTGAAACAGAACAGGAGGAATCATTGGATGATATTCCCTTAACTCTAAATATAGGCAAGGAAAGAATCTCTGTCATTGATTCAGATTAAACTAATTTTCATGTCAAACAACTAAACGCATTGCTTTTTAAAACTAAGTCATCAATAATAAATATGTCTCGAAACATAAAAGGCAATTTGACCATGTTTTGTCATATACTTGACCGCAGTGACTGCAATGCCATCACAGAAAACAATAAAATGAAACAAATACCCAATGAAACAATGAATTTATTTTTGCAAATAGGTCATAACACGTCAAAAATATATATGAAAAACTAGATGAAGCTGAAATTTCCTATCTGACTACTCTGATAAGAAATTCCGAAACAAACTCAGAGCTTCGTCTCTTTTTAAGTCCAAACAAATCTCGAAGTCCTTAACCGCATTCAAAAGGCTGACAATGCCTTTTATGTTTTGGGAAATTTGCCATAAGGTGTTCCACATACTCATTTGCAGCCCTTTCTTATCAAGTAATATTCCTTATATCGTTATGTAGAACATTATATTTTATGAGTGGAACAGACAATATAGACCTTAAACTTAAAACCTCGGTCATAATGACCGACAACGCCAGTAAACAACAAAATAACGAAACATACCAATTTAGTCTTTAAACTAGCTAATCTCGCGCGGTTTCACCCGCTGCTCAGTGCCTACAGAACGTAACGTGATGTTTTAGAACCTTTTTGAAAAGCCTTAAACACAAAAATGTTTTTTCAATTCGAACCAGTAAGTCCGGAGATTACCGGGGTTGCGGGTTAAGGGCAAAGAGTCACCGCGGCCTCGGCCCAGAGCAGGAGAATGAACGGGGGTTTTTAGTCAGTAAGAGTCTGACACTCTCTCTCGCCTAACCCGGCGAGAGAAAAAAATGGTCCTGAGATTAACGCGTTCAAGCAAACAAACAAACTCTTCAGCTTTATAATATTAGTATAGTTTAAATGTGAAGGTTACAAGTGAGAGCTTAGATCCAAGTTCAAATCACTGCACATCTAAGACTATAATTACTTAAATGCATCATGAATACAAGTAAGTACATGCTACTAGGTGAGAAGGTCGAAAAGGCTAAACGTTGAATATTTCTAGAAAGTTTCTATGACAAACGAAAGTGACATTTCTAATTCATATATCCGTGGTGTTTGGAGGTGAATTATAAATTAGGTTTTTATTTTTATAAATCTCTGATTAATGACGTAATGTTGATGGTCGCATATCGTTCGAATTTCTATAGCACGCACGCAGTTTCTGCGCCAATATTATTTGGCCGTAACAGTTTACTGGTTTACGAGAAGCGTCTTAAGCGGCTTTCATACTGTGATTTATTTAGTTTTAGTTTTGTTTAAACACGTTTCCCCACATTAGGATTTTCTCCTGTTTCGTGGGTGCAGTTACAAACATACAATTTCACATACACATAACACCCAGATCCTGAACAACAATTTGTGGAGCAAACAAAGAGTTGTTCCGTGCGGGAATCGAACCCGCGACACGTTGCACAGCAGCCAGTTGCCCAGCCACCGCACCAACCGTGCACTCTTCAGTTCAGTTATTTATTTATTAATCATCCTTCTCATTAATATTACTGATAGTTATAAGCTAACGTTTTGAGAGGCATACCTAATAGATATTTAGTGCACTATGCAATCAGTCACGGGAACATAACATTTATACCTGCACGGCGTGTTGGAAATCGCAGTTTTAAAAGCTTATAAAAGAGCATGCTGCTCACCGATCTCTGCCAAATGTGTAGTATCTAATGTGTCCCCCCAATAATACCCGAGGGAAGAGAAGTAGTAACAAATATACCCTATATTTATGTATAGTAACTACAGTGAAACATTCTAAATGACGAATAAGAATAAAATCTTAAAAACCAAGAACACTTTTATGACATGTAACTAGTAAAGTTTTTTCTCAGTTATTTCATATGATTAAGAATTAATCTATATTCATACAAAAATTAATCGCGAAACTTTTTGGTAGGCGCTACTCAATAAGGCCTGAACCAATTTTGCCAATTCTTTTTTGTTAAGTTCATAATTTTTAGAAGAAGGTTCTTGCCAATAATATATATAGTTTAGAAAAGTAAAGGGGAATATCGGAAATTAACAATTCTTTCGGAATTAACTACTCTTTCTCTTTTTTTTCGGTGCTGAGGTCGTTCGCTAATAAGACTACTGACTAACACCGGGGTAGTCGGATACCCATGCGAAGCAGGGACGGTCCGCTAGTCCGCTAGTTCAATATACCTATATTGTATATTCATACTATGTTTATGTTATTTATGGACTTCGCCGAATCTAGAACAAACTTCCATAGGTTTAGGCGTGTTTACCAGAAGTACCCTACCTATTACTGAAAACAAGTATTCATCCATCCAACTGACATTTTATGTCTGATGTTATGTTTGTTACTCCTTCACGTAAAACCTACTGCACGTCGATTCTATAAAATTTGTTTGATTTTGAATCTTGTTCGAGTGCGAAGTGAGCGTCGAAGTGAAAATTAAATTTTAGAATGTCACTTTTAACGTCATCTCATACTTTATCTATCAATATGTTGCTGTCAATTTAGTTCGCCAACTCGCAAGTGTAGCGCTAGTGTACAGTCTCACAGTGGATTCAGATTCGAAGTTTAGAATGAAGTCTTACAGAATCACACCCCTGATCTGAATGAAATTTACTACAGATATACCTAGATTATTATCAGAAATAAAAATGAATGTTTGTGCAAGAAAACCCGATGGCAGAAGTTGGTAAATTGCAATGCTTAGTATATAAAAGTAAGCCGTAAATCACAATATGGCGTCCACGCAAACGTAACATAACCAATAATAAGACTCATTATATTAATTGGACTCCATTTAATCATGATCAATAATTTGATAAAAAAAGCTGATACATACTAGAAACTTGACTTAGAGCGATTTTTACCATATATCTCATTTTACAGTTGATATGTCGTTTTAAAATCTCGTATGTAATTAATCTTTGGTTTTCTATATTCTAGGCCTGACATGTATTCAGCGTTGGTCAATGTAAGATGTTTTTATTTTGTTAAGATGAAAAAATTTACAGTCGCTCTATCTGGGGAAAAAACTACATCAAAATCTGTTGCATTGTTTTCAAGATTTGAGCATACATAGGCAGTCAAAATCATTTATTTCAATAAGACCCTTACAGGCACTTTTACACGTCAAAATAGGATTAGGGGTGGAGAAAGCGACATTGTTTTATTGTGTAGCGAAGTAAACATTTATTAATGAAAACTGGTATAATGTATCTTGCCTAAACCCCAATAACTGCTAAATAAGGTTAAATAATTTTTTTTTCGGTGTTTTTCGGTAATCATTTGCCTTTTTTTAAGACAAATATGACTTGTACTTGTGGCATTTTAATGCCAAGTCGAAATGTTAATAGCTTCTCCTAGAACATGCAAACTAAGATAGTCAAAAGACATTGGTACCGATTAGCTAATTAAAATGACCAATGAGTTTCATAATTTGAATTGATCACAAAACACGAGATGAGAGTTGTGTCCCATCGGCGACGTGGTCAAGAAAGCGCGACGCACGCGAGATCTTCTATATTTCAATACATTTAACGCATAACAGTGGAGACAATATGATTTTTTTAATGAAATATTTATTAGATATTACTATGTGGTTATTATTAATGATGGTTTGTTTTTGATAGTCATTATACAAGAGAACATTTTTATCGTTACTTATATGCTCGTGATTTGATGTTATCTAACCTTCTTCTTTCTGGCCTTTGCCGTAGGTTAGGATAAACATTGAGTCCTAATCATATTCATCTGACGAAATAGTAACAGCTCTCCATATTCCACTACGAATTAATACATTTTTCTTTAACCTCGTTGAGGCTTTTATGGTTCTATTTAGCTATGACACACCTATCAAAATATAAACGATCAAAGTATAACTATTATTTCATGCATACTTATAAAGATTCGATTTCATTCAATGGCTCATTACGTAAATGTTGGATCTCTACTGATTCACTGCTCTGTTACGATTGAAGTATTCGTGCGTCTGCGTAAAAATTAAATCGATTTCATATTAAATTCTTAACAGCAATAATTGGATCTAAATTACGCAATGTTCTATGAATCTGTCTCAGTGACATTAGCCTCTACAGCGTATCATTAACATTGCTCGAGAGAAATCATAAGAAAATTATTTCGAGCCAGATTTATTACGTGATACAGTACCACCTGTTTTTATTGTTCGCAGACATGCGTCAATGTTTTTATGTTTGATAAAATGCAGGAGAATAATACGCAGTTTAATTCTATATTTTATTTTTGTAAAACATCGAGAACACTTAAATATATTAACAACAACCTCAACAGTTATAAATGTATCTTATCACAACAATACAATTAGAATACAATGATTATTTTAAGTACAATATTTACAATAATACATTTGTGTTGAGACTACTACTAAGTCTTAAGCCTTAACAATAAGTCAACCTTAAATAAAATATAAATGCCAAATTTTATAAATACATCATTTAAAGCAGTCCGAAAATCATTTTTAGAATAATAAAATTACAATAGGTAAATTAAATATTAACTTAAAAATCTAAATACAACATAGAGCATTGTACATCAATTCAGAAAATGTACTTACACAAGTAATAAATTATAAAATAAATAACAATATTCTACGTGGTATCCTCTGCACTGACAGTATCAGATTTTGACTCAGCAACCGGTGGAGGTGGTCGCAATAATATTGGTACGGACGTCTCTAAACTTTCAGTTTCGGCACCAGCCTCAAATAATGGCTCAGTTTTCATGATACGTAGTAGTTTCGGTTTGTTAACACGCCGTCTGCGAGCATGTTTTTCCATTTTCATATGACTACCCCTACCTACGGGAGAGTGTGGAGGAGGTGGTTTCAATAAAGGATAAGGTTCATCTACGTCAACTTTGGGATACTTTCGTTGATATGAATGACGTCCTGATAGCATATTGGGATGCCTATGCCGTTCATTCGCCCTAGAACCTGACATATACCTGCTTTTAGTCCTACTTTCTTCAAAGTTACTAGTTATGATGTCATCACCTTGTCCTGTTAAGTCAGTTGCAGAACTAACCTCCCTTTCACTAGCTAAGTCATCTTGCTCTATGACAGCACCAATAGGATGAGTACTGGATGCGTCAGCAATAGGTACAATGCTTTCTTCTTCTTCCTGGCTACGCGAGTATTTTACACCCTGATAAGGAAATCTACCAGTGTTATAAATGTCTAGGTACGAACCGCCAAGTGCACTCAGTCCATCGTTGATTGGAGCCAAGTTGGCAGTATTTTCATTTTTCAACAAGAACTGTAGCTGAGACATATCGAACTTCAATGGTGCTGGTTTACTGTACTGATCCCTTAATGCCAACATTTGCGAATCATCTACTGTGGGCTTACCTTTCAACATTTCTGCTACCAACTTGAGGTCCATATTAAATGGATTAGCAACTTTAAAGCCGTTTATAGTAGACAATAAACTGCCAGTTTGGCTGTCTATTTCCGGTCTGTTTATGTTCAGAGTAGGTTGCTTGTTTAGTAACAACTTGTTGAGCAGGTTGGTTGTGACGTCAAGCTGATGGCTGCCAACATTTTGGTTGATACGCAGCGGCAGTGGTGTGGGTATACCTCCTTGGTCGAAATTTATGTTATGTAATTTCAACGCATCATTTGACATACCCTGAGTAAGTTTGTATGGGATATCATTGAATTTTAGAATGTTTGCCAAGTCAGATGATAACTGATTTTGTTGGTTGCGATTATACCCTACCTGTTGTGAAGTCGGAGATTGCATATTGTCTTGGTAACTAGCCTGTTGAGACAAATAATTCAAGCCTTGTGGTTGTCCAGGATAACTAACTGGATTATAGTTAGTTTCTGTAGATATAGACTGCTTACCATATATACTAGACTCTAATTGTTTAAGACTATCAGAATTTACATACTCATCAGATTTTGTTTTAATATTAAATCCGTAAATAGAATTTTTATCTTTGTAGAAGGAATCTGTTACTGGTCTCAAGTATTGTCTAACATTTTGATCAAGTTGATCTTTTTGATAATTGTTGGTGTACCTTCCGTTGTTATCCAAACTGCCTGATTTCAATGAGGAATCTGAATTAGCGACAACATTAGATACATCAATGGGTACAATATTTTTCAATGCCTTATCATGATCGAAAGGTTGTTTTGGCTTGTTGTCTATATTTTCCCTAGATGTCGAAAGAAAATATGGAGATGCTGTGATGAGATCATTTTGACTTCCATAAATGTAAGGATTATTAGTATTATCCGTATATTTATTCCTGTTTTTATCGTTGGTACTATAGTATGCATTACCTGCATTATTAATTTCTAAATTACCAATGTTAGATGATCCATAGTTGTTGCTATTTGCATATAGTTGCTGTTGCTGCTGTTGTTGTTGATGCTGTTGTTGCTGTTGTTGTTGCTGTTGTTGCTGCTGCTGCTGTGCTTGCTGTTTCAATCTCTCCTGGGCCTTTGCAGCTGCTTTGGCAAACTCTTGAGCTTCGATAGCTTCCGTAGCCGACTTAGAAACTTGGTCGTAACTATTATAAGGCTTACCAGTTTCCATGTGGAAATTCATCTGACTAACTGCTGGGCCATCAGACGAACTACCCAACGAAGAATATCTTGGATGAAAAGAATTGTATTCTATTAAAGGTTTCTTCCCAGTTAGTTTCCACCCAAAATCACCATTTGAGTAGATTTCTTGACCGGTTTCTTGTTCTAAGTCTCTTGTACGAAGTTTTAGGTTATTCAACATTTGATTATCAGGCTGCACGTAGTTTACAAATAGATTATTGGCAGAAGCCATAGTACCAATGCGATGAGTTTCACTGTTAACATTATCTGTATTTGATTCTAATCTGGTGTCTTGTTGGGAATTCGGATACTGATAGTTTTGATACTGGTTGTATGAATTATCTTGAACAGATTTTGATGCCGCATTCAGATTTGAATTCATAGTATTCTGCCATGACTCTCTTAACTGGTCTTGATACGGTGAACTCGTAGTTGAAGAGGAAGATGGTTGATACTCATTTTGGAACTGTTGTTGGATATTTGCTGGGTACCGCACTCCATTCCCAGCGTAATCATAATGATCTATTTGCATTTTCTTATTTTGGTCAGTATAATCGTTACTTACGGGATTATTTCCGATCGTTGTTGTAACTCTATTGTAGTCGGGAGTCCCGGTCTGTATGACTGATAATGGTGACGATACATATGACTGCAAATTGTTTGGACTAGAAAGGTACAATGGAGAAGAACTAGAAACGTACGAACTAGATGGCGTTCCAGTAAACTGACCATTATTTAAAGGTGTGGATAAATATGAAGGAATAGGGGACGCCGTACTTTGTACACTATCTAAAAACGTGTTAGGTGTACTAAACTGATAAGGACTAGGACTAGACAGGTATGTTGAGCCATGAGACGCTTTTGGCTCCAATGGTACTTGATTGTTCTGTTGGTTGTTGTTGTCGTAGTTAGATGAAGAGATTGTCGAATACTGGTATTGTGGCTGCGGAGTAGCTGTGTACCCTATGTTTGGGGCTGGAGTGGATACCTGCGACTGTTGGTAATACTGATTTTCTGCTCTCAGCTGTTGAAGGAATTCTTCTGGTGGTAATGAGTACTGCATCGAAGCATACTGGTTACTAGCCCCTGCACCGCTGTCTTGTGCTTCCGTGTTCTCGGGTTGCTTTTCCGTTTCTTCTATCTGCTGCTGGAACGGGTTCTTTATTCTGTAAATCTTCCTACTTCTAGGATAAAATGTTCGACCATAATTATTGTTCTTGTTAGCGTCTTCGTTAAGGTTGAATGTCATGCTGGATGAACTTAATGGCTGGTTGTTTTGTTCTCTCTGTAGCATGTTGTTGAATGCTTCGACATGCCCATCATTTGAAGCCATTTGTTGGTAACGAAGAATGTCTTGCTCGGAGAATCCATTTTGACAGCGGATGGTTTTGATCAGTTGTATTATGACTAGTAGCCGTATCTGTAAGCAAAGGAAAAACACACATTAGTTTTAAAATGTAATAAAATTGTATTAAAGGAGTGATGGACGCAAGACCGACGACTGCTCGGAGTGAGTATACATAGTACATGTACTTCACCGTAATTATTGTGACTAACCAAACTACATGAGTACCTACATAAATACATCATTCATCATCATCATCAGCGTATAAGTGCCTACTGCTGAGCAAAGGCCTCTTCTCATACGGAGAAGGTTAGAGCATAAATCACCACGCTTGCTCAATGCGGGTTGGCGATTTCAAACTTATAATTAAAAATTATAAGTCCAGGTTTCCTCACGATGTTTACCTTCACCGTATGTGAGTGGTATCTAAATAATCATAGAAAGTACATATAACTCAGAAAAAGTCACATTGGTACTTGCCAGGTTTCGAACCTACACCCTCATGCATGAGAAGCAGGCCCTAACCTCTGGGCCACCACGACATTCTTACTACATAAATACGCTTTTATCTATCTCATTACTGAATTAATGTTATATATTATTTAAAAACACGTGGAGCTACGTCATATTATGCAACATTACTAAAATGATGAAACATTAATATATGATCTCCATCAACTTATATCTAGCAATGCAAGTAAACCGGTCACATATTTTAACCTGAGCTTGCATTGGCCTGTGAACTTGTTGCAGCACATCGCGCTAATCAATTACTTGAGCATGTAAATAAAATTATCTTAAGGAAAACTGACATCTACTGGTTCTTAAGTAAGGATACAAGTGTTACCTGTTTAGAAATTACCATGTTAATTAACTATAGATTTAGAAAACTGTCTTCCATCTAATAGTTCAGCATTTTTAGAAAGGCAACAACTTTCGTTAAAGGACTTGCATACTGTTGACCTATCCACTCTCGATCTTCGCAGTTTCCTAACTTGTCAATCGAGTTATCAAGTGTATTTTTATCTTTAACTACAACATTTTCCCTTTCAACTACTGCTTATCAAGGGTCAACTAAGACTTTGATACTTATTTCTTGTCGACCCACCTACACCATAAATGATATTAATTTAAAACTTCTTGTGCTTTCACAACTAGTATTTTGAATTTAAAATTGATAACTTGTAACACAAACCTGTAGATGTCGTGTTTGAGAATAATAAATTTCCCAGATAAAACAGTTCTCAGTTAATACGGTCTGATTATTAAATGCTATAAAATATGCATCTCGTGCAGTTGTCTGAATAATTATTATGGAACGCCCTTAGAAGTGAAACTTGGTACTGCATAAATTTCAACAACACCCCATGTATAACTACTCGTATAGAAATGGAAATAATCTACATTAATCATTAGTTTACATGGTAAAGGCTTGACATTAGATATATATACTTTGAAACTGAAGTCACACTTTCAGAGTAATTATTATACATTTACAATAAATCATGGAACAGCGCAAATCCTTCACCTCTAAAAAAAACTAAATCTAGAAGATACAAAACTATTTTAAAGTTTTCTCATTGGATTCGATTATTTTGACCCCAGCATTATCATGGCAACATAGAATTTAAAATAAAAATTTATTTACGGAAATTAAAAATAAAAACGGTCATTTGGGCGTATCAACTATACAGACACATACGCTAACAGAATCATGAACAGTTACTTGTGAATGGCGCGACGTGTATAACTTTACAATGGGGTTGGGGCCTAACAATGTCGATGTGCTGTTGGGGTTATGGAGCATGTGCACCCGGGACCAGGCTTTGACCTGGAGCAAGAGAAGGAACTGGGTGCGCCCCATCCTAGGCGAAGGTTAAGGTGCCCAGTTTCCCAAGTATAAAGGTTCGAAACCTGGTAAGTACTAATGTGACTTTTTCTAGTTCTAGTTATATATATTTTCTGAACACTCTTTAAAACTTACTGACAAACGGTAGAGGCAAACATGGTGAGGAAAACTGGATTAAAATTTTTGAATACGTTATACGTTTGAAATCGCCAATCAAAGAGAGAGAGAGAATCATCAAATGACTTCTCCCTTCAGGGAGTGTCAGACTCTTACTGCCTAAAAATTACTCTACTCCTTCTTAATATTGCGCTTACCCCAGCAACACAGGCTGGTCCAACCCGCTTGCTAAGCGTGGATGCTAACCAAGCCTGGACGTGATTTATCTTCGTTCCGTCTCTGTCTAAGAAGAGGCATTTGCCGAAACCACCGTCCTGCTCAGAGCCGGGCTGCGGTAGGTACATTATTGTGGCCGCGGCCTCGGCCGAGAGTAGAAGAAAGAACGATGGGAATTTTAGTCAGTAAGAGTCTTACACTCCCTTTCACCTTACACAGGGCAGGAGAAGTCATTTGATTACCCTGACAAAAAAAACCTGCAACCTCGGCTGATCCGTGTGGATGCTAACCTGGACGTGCTTATAGTTCAATCCTTCTCCGTGTAAGAAGATAGGCATTTGCTCAACAGTGGGTACTTATAAGCTCATGATAAATAGTAACAAAATAATTGCACGTGTGTTAACAAAAGGAGTGTTGCATAGTTGCATGTGATGCGTGCACAAGTAAAGGTGTGTGCGGCCGTCGACCGTGCGGTATGCGCCGAGCGATAGTGAGATGTAAGTCCTCTCAGCCGTGAATCGCTTTCCTACACAATTCTATTAAGTACTGGATTCCTAATACTATTACGATGCCCATTTATCATCATTCATCTTACGAATCAAATGGTAAACGTTTATTACATTTTAACCTGGATTTTAATGAGTTGGGAGAGTGGTGCGTGAATTTCGTACCTAATAATTTATGTTGTTTCTGTACTGGTTTCTTCTTATGAATAAGAGCTATATATTAAAAAACCTTTGTTTATTTGTAATGAAAAAGCTCAAAAATTACTAGCCTGATTAAAAAAAAAACACCTGTCGAAAGCTACATTATCCACGAGAAACATAGGCTAAATAGTATTTTGAAAAAAAAATGGTTTCTATAAATTATTTGGAGTTTTCGAACACAAGGTGTTAACAAAAATCAAACAATAAAGTTACTATTAAGTGTTTATTTTGATACGCAATTCTATCACAAATTCAATTTAGATTAGTCGCGGGCATAAACTAGTTTAGTATTTGTATGTATTAGGTCGGTAAACGAGCAGACGGATTACCTGATGGTAAGAAATCAGCGCCGCCCACGGACACCCGCAACGGGGGAGTTATGAGTGCGTTGCTGACCGTTTAGGAATTAGGGATTTGGATATTTAGAGATTGAGGAGGGATTGGGGGAGGGTAAGGATTGGGCCTCCGGTAACCTCACTCACACGGCGAAACACAACGCTGTGGTTGTTTTACGCCGGTTTTCTGTGAGGCCGTGGTATCACTCCGGTCGAGCCGACCCATTCGTTTTTTTTCTTTTTTTTATGTTATAAGTCGGGAAACGAGCAGACGGATTACCTGATGGTAAGCAATCAGCGCCGCCCATGGACACCCGCAACGGAGGAGTTACGAGTGCGTTGCCGACCATTTAGGGATTAGGGATTTCGATATTTAGGGATTGGGGAAGGGTCCCGGAAGGGGAAGTAGGAAGTATTCGTGCCAAAGTAAGGCTCTCCTACACTTAATTATATTATCAAAGTAAACAAAAAGTAAGGTATAGCATCTGAAATTATGAAAATAAACAAGCATTGCTTTCATTTCTTGTTTTCAGGTAATTGTGAAAGTTAAGTAGGTATGTATATCTGTTTCGTCGAAACTTTACATAAAGAATACCTTCTAGGTATTCATGATGTTATTACATAATTTGGTGCCTTATATCGTTTAGATGCACAAAACCGGTATTTCAAATTAGATACATTTAAATATTACGTAAAATTGTTTACATTATTAATTTTAACTTTTTAATATTTATTTATTTATGTAGATACATACAGCACACCCACCGAAAACATATTTATAAAATGCAAGTACATGGATGCTATATATTCCTACGGGAATATTTAGCAGGTCTATGAGAGGAAAAGTAATTAAGATAAACGACACTTTAAGTGTCGAATAAATAATAAAATATTAAAATAAGCAAACACTTATAAATAAAACCTGAATATAATATCTATAGCATAAAAATTAAAAGCAAATCGGTTGGTAAGCCAATAACTCAAAAATGCCTGGACGAATACAAAATATTTTATATATTAAGTAGAATTTTGAAATGAAAATGTATAGTTTGACATTACATGGTTCTACTACTACTCCAACCTTATAAGGACACACTACTGAACCCACAAAAAAAAATAGAGCATTCATCAACCGCTAGGTGGATCGACCGACATTGTCAGAGTCGCGGGGAGCCAACGGATGCAGGTGGCAAGTTATCGTTCGACGTGGAGGGCTAAGGGGGAGGCCTTTGTTTAGCAGTGGACGTTTTCCGGCTGATGATGATGATGATGATGATGATGTTGATTCATAACCACGATTGAAATTTATACGAGTAATTAGAAAACATAAGTCCAGGTTTCCCCTCGAAGTCTTTCTTCGCTATACATCCATGGTGTCTAAATAATCTTGAAGCTATTACTACTGTGATCCATTAATTTTCGACCAAATCGCATAAATCATTAATGACCCTCATATAGTCAGTTGTTATTTAAAATAAATATTTCTTCACAAGGCCTAAAGGAAACGAAAATGGAGAAACTCGAAATGTAGAAACAGACAAATTATACGAAACGGTGGTTTTATGTATTCATAAAAAGTTATTTAATACAGTTTATACGAAACTAGACTTTCCTCGCAACTCCGCTCGTGTTATATTTTTTTTGTATTGTAAAGCAGTAACGCCCGGTTCCTATAATTGAGAAACGATCCGTTTTAATTACGAATAGTAGTTTTATATACGACTCGTAAGCTAAAACCGTTCCTATAACAAACGTCTCGTCGTGCAACTTACTGACGGTTTGCAACTAACGGATATCGGTAAGCGAATTGTATGGAGATCTATGGTGTCTGTGGTTTTCCTATAAATATTTTAACCGTCAATAGACGGTCAAGATAACTATTCGCAATGTCATTTGGTCGTAATGCGTATCCAATGACGATTCGTTAAATATAGGAACCGGGCATAAGACATATTAAAAATATTTAAAGTAACGACTACCTCTCCTGAGTTAACTTAGAAAACATTTATTGGATATGCAACCGAATCGATCGAGTGTGCTACCCGACGTGCCCACTGCTCAAGACAGAGTCCCGAAATGACTTGAAACTCGTCAAGATTTTTTTGTTGTTACCTAATTCACATTATTTTCAAGAAATTTCAAACCAAACTTGCAAGTATGTTCTCGGCCTTTTGGGCCTCCAGGAACCTGTTAATAAATCAAAAGCTATATGTGTGTCAGTTTACGATGCGACTCTACAGTAAAGTCTATCCGTATCAATAACCAAATGATCAAGACAGACTATCAGAACTAAATATCAAAGCAGACCATCAATGAGGTAATTATAACAATATAGAGTACGTACTATAAGATCCGTATTTTTGAGAAATGTATGAGAAAGCAATTCTCAAGAATTAATGTTTAGGACTGCTAAATCGTTACGTCATTGTTTAGTATATATAAAATACCAAATCTTTTACGTCACGACAACGAGACTAAGTTCTTTTTAAATATATTCAGCAAAACAGACAAACCTACTTCGATATTAAATCTAAATCTAGTAATTTATAATACGATAAACTTGGCGACTGAACGTTTGAATCGCGAAACCATTGATTTACGATTAAAGGAACAGATTCACATAATAGAAAGTTCGAGAAGCTTTCAACTCGTGACTATTATGCATGCAAGACAGGATAATACCCGTCCGGGGTGAAAGGGCAACAGTATAAGTTACCAAGTAACAACAAGGGAAACTGTTAGCAGTTACAGCTGATTTCCATTTATTGTGTAATACACTAGCATCCGTCGCGGCTTCCTACGCGTACAAATGTGTCCCGGGATTTTAAAAAGAGCAGCATTAAGGGCTAAAGCTCGGCTAAAATACGAAAATGAAGTATAATTTATAGTCAATAGCACTCAGAAATATTGTAGCTCTACCGATTGTCTACCAATGACAGAATTTTAGAAATCCGATCAGCGGTTCCGAAGATTACCCCCTACACACAAAATTTACCTCTTTATAATATTAACATAAAGACATATTGTCTGCGTGGTGGTACTAGTGTAAAATAAATCCGTTATGATCATTAGGAGGTATTATTGCGGGAGTCGTAATAAAAAGACTAAATTCAAGTCACTTAAAACATGTCATAAACCTCAATTCTATTAATAAATATAGCAAATATTTGTATTGTTCGTTGGTGATCGTTCACTAAACATTTAATACGCTACGATTCTATGTTCTAAATTTCAATAAATATTCTTTTGGATTTATAACTCTCTTTAAAAATGGAACTACGAAATATAAAGGACTTATCATTATCTTATGTATTACGAAGAGTATAACAATTTAAAAAACGCGATTAATATACATGGTAAAACGACAGGTGTGCGGAAATACATGTATACATATAAAAATGTATTTGCATGCATAAATATATTTGAGTTAAATGTGTGACACAAGTTACATCATTCTATAACGTTTTACATTAAAATATTTTGGTTGACACATACGCCGCATAGGTGAGTTCAGGCTGTTTAAATTGCATATTACTCAGTGTTTGTAAATAAATTTCGTTTTAAATAAATGTGGCATAATATAAATCAACTAAGTTACAGATCCGAGGATACTATTTAGCATATAAAAAAATGAGATCTCAAACCCGCAGGCAGAAAACCATCAAATGACTTCGCCCACCCTAGGCAGGGCAAAATGGAGTGTCCCTTACAGACTCCCTTAATGACGGTACATCACTTGGATTGCACCTGCTCGCTTGCTGAGCGTGGTAGTACAATGCAGCAGAGCAGTCGTTTGATGGAATACGGTATCATATATATGTATATACCTGACCTGAATCTACTAAATATTTGAGAAAATAAAAAAGGAGAGTACGCCTATACAACCAAGTTATCCTAAGTAAGTGAAGTCGCCAAGTCACCACATCATTACAAATTAAATCAAAATAAGTTTCTTTTTTGCGTAGGTAGCTCATCAATAAATCTAAAATTCTCTAACATATATTTACACAAATATAAATGTTTGAAGTATTTAATGATTACTTAAACGATTTCACGCTCGTTTAGTAACGATTTTTAATTGAAGAA